GATATCTTCTATGGAGATCAGTCCCTGGGAGTATGGATTGACAAAAAACAGATTTTGGGCTGGGAGCAAAGTTTAATTGCAAAGTCAGAGGATGGGTACAAGAGTCACACATAGGAAAACAGATGCATATTGAATCCGTACTCTTAAGTGAAATAAATGAGACACACGTGTAAATACCAAATAGTTTCTCTGGTGTGAAAAACCTAAAAGTGTAAATGAGATCCAAATTGTATAACTGATAATGTGAATAGGAAGAAAAGGGCTAAAGGTGTAGGGGAAGTGGGACAGGTAGGGGAAAGGAAATATGGGAAAAGAAAAAATATGAGAAAAGGAAAAAATGGAAACAAAGACTTTGTAAATAGGAGAGGGTGGAGGGAGTGAAGGAAGGGCAGTGGTGTGGGGAAAAAATGAGAACCAAGATCAGTCATGTGAGGGTACAAGATCCCAATGAAGACTGTAACTGTACTGTATACTTTAAAAGTACCAATAAAATTAAATAAAAAGAAAAAAAAGTCAGAGGATGGGGTGTTATAAATGATATACCCCAATAGAAGGAGCAAGTCTTTGAGATTCAGTAATTAGCGAGAACCCTGAGTTTACTGAATACTGCTGTGTGGTCTTTGGCAAGTCAATTCACCTCTCTGAGCCTGGTTTTCCTCTGTGGCTATTCATACCCTCTCGATGGAGTGTACGAGGATGAAATGAGATGCCCTTATGAGTGCTGACCACATACTAGGTACTCAAAAAGGATAGCTTTCCTTCTCTTCAGAGTTCCCCTTGCAAGTTTTGCTGAATTGGAGGCACAGTTATAAAGAATGGAGAACATACACAGGCTATGGATCCGGATCCTGGCTCCATGGCTATGAGCTACATGGCCTAGGCAAGTCGCTCATTCCCTCAAACTTTGTCTTCTCACTGACAGAAAGGGAATACTGAGCTCATAAAGTTGTTGTGAGGATTAGAAATGGCTTAAAGGTACCTCATAAAGGATTGAGCTCATCCTAGATGGGCCTAGAGTCAGGCTAATTTAAAATCCCAACTCCCTACAAGGGAAATTCATAGCAGTAAATGCCATACTGAGAAAACAGAGCAAGCTCAAATAAACAACCTAATGCTTAAATTTAAGCATCTAGAAAAAGAAGAGCAAGACAAACTAAAGCCCATACAAGAGAGGACATTGTAAAGATCAGAGCAGAAATTAATGTAATGGAGACTAAGAGAACTATACAAAAAAAATCAATGAATCACATAATTGGTTTTTCAAAAGAATAAATAAAATCAATAAACCCTTAGCCAACCTTATCAAAAAAATGGAAAGAAAAGGCTCAGATTCATGAAATTAGGAATGAAAAAGGTCAAGTCACAACAGATCCAGCAGAAATCCAGAGGATCATCAATACCTGCTTTGAAAACCTGTACTCTAATAAAATAGAAAATAAAGAAGAAATGGACAGATTCCTAGATACATGTGAACTTCCAAAGTTGAACAAAGAAGATAGAAAAAGTCTAAACACCCCACCTATATTCAGTGAAATTGAAAATGTAATTAAAACATTACCAACAAAGAAAAGCCCAGGTCCTGATGGCTTTACTGCTGAATTCTACAAGACATTTAGAGGAGAACTATTGCCACTACTTTTTAAACTTTTCAATGAAATTGAAAGGGAAGCAATACTTCCAAATTCATTCCTGGAATCAAGTATTACTTTGATTCCAAAACCAGGGAAAGACCCAATCAAAAAAGGAAACTATGGGCCAATCTCCCTAGTGAACATAGATGCAAAATAAGATACTGACAAACAGAATACAGAAGATCATCAAGAAGATCATACACCCTGACCAAGTTGGATTTATCCCAGGGATGCAAGGATGGTTCAAAATACCTAAATCAATAAATGTAATACACCATATTAACAGAGTTAAGGATAAAAACCATATGATCATCTCAATAGATGCAGAAAAAGCATTCAACAAAATTCAACATGCATTCATGATAAAAGCCCTACAGAAAACTGGAATAGGTGGTCTTTATCTCAACCTGATGAAGGCTATCTATAAAAAAACAATAGCTAGGGCCAGGGATTTAGCTCAGCAATTCGGTGGCCTGCCTCGCAAGCGCAAGGACCTGAGTACATTTCCCAGTACCACAAAACAAAAAACAAAAACAAAAAAACACCCCAAAAAGCCAATAGCCAATGTCATTCTAAATGGTCAAAAACTGAGAATCTTCATGCTAAAATCAGGAACAAGACAAGGATGTCCACTATCACCACTCCTGTTTAATATAGTTCTGGAAACATTAGACGCAGCAATTAGACAAGAGAAAGAAATAAAAGGAATAAAGATAGGAAAGGAAGAAGTTAAACTGTCACTATTTGCTGATGATGTGATACTCTACATAGAAGACCCAAAAAACTCTGCCAAAAGACTGCTAGACTTAATTGACAGATTCAGTAGAGTTGCTGGATACAAAGTCAGCACTCAAAAATCAATAGCCTTCTTGTACACACATAACAGAGGCACTGATAGAGAAATTAGGGAAACAATTCCTTTCACAATAGCATCCAAAAAAATGAAATATCTAGGAATAAATCTAAGGAAGGAGACAAAAGACCTCTACACTGAAAACTATAGCAGTCTGAAAAAAGAGAGAAAAGAGGATATATGAAGATGGAAAGGCATCCCTTGCTCCTGCGTAGGGAGACTCAACATAGTGAAAATGGCTATACTACCAAAACTGCTATACAGAGTCAATGAAATCCTGATTAAAATTATAACAGTATATTTCACAGAACTAGAGAAAATAATACAAAAATTCTTTTGGAACCAGATGAGACCTAGAATAGTAAAAGCCATCCTAGGCAACAGAGATGTGACAGAACGTATCACAATCCTCAACTTGAAACTATGCTACAAAGCCACTGTGATAAAAACAGCATGGTACTGGCAAAGAAACAGACCTGAGGATCAGTGGAATAGATTGGAAGATACAGAAATAACTCCAGATATACTTAACTACCTGATCTTTGACAAAGGAGCCAACCATCTTCACTGGAGGCAAGATAGCCTCTTTAAAAAATTGTGTTGGAAAAACTGAATTTCAACCTGCAACAGATTAAAACTAAACCCCTATCTTTCACCATGCACTAAACTAAAATCCAAGTGGATTAAAGATCTAAATGTTAAAACAGAAGCTCTAAACTTGCTGGAAGATAAGTTAGGCAGAACTCTCGAAGACATTGGCATAGAAGACTTTATGAACAAATCAGCAGCAGCACAAGAACTTGCACAAAGAATCAACAAGTAGGATCTCATTGTATTAAAAAATTTCTGCAGTGCAAGAAAAATCCCCAACAGAGCTAAGAGACACCTACAATGTGGGAATAATTTTTACCAGCTACTCCTCAGACAAAGGACTACTATCTAGAATATATAAAGAATTATAAAAAATCAGACCCCCCAAACACCAAGACCTGATTCAAAAATGGGCACCTGAAATGAACAGATGAAGAAGTAAAAGCAGCAAATAAATATATGAAAAATGTTCAACATCACTGTTCATTTGAGAGATGCAGATGAAAACAACACTGAGATTCCATCTCACCCCAGAAAGAATGACTGCTGTCAAGAAATCAACCAACAACAAATGCTGGTGGTGCTGTGGGGAGAAAGGAATCCTTCTCCATTGTTGGTGGGAGTGCAGACCAGTGCAACCACTGTGAAAATCAGTAAGGAAATACCTCAAAGAACTAGGATTAGAAGTTACATTCGACCCAGCTGTCCCTCCGTTTGGTATCTTTCCAAAACAATTAAAAGAATCATACCCTAGTGATATATGTGCACCCATATGTATAGCAGTACAGTTCATAATAGCTACAACTTGGAAACAACCCAAATACCCATCAACTGGAGACTGGATAAAGAAGATATGGTTTTTCTATAAAATGGAGTACTACTTAGCCATAAAGAATGAAAAATGAGAAACATTTATTACTAAATGGGTGCACATTGAGGCTATACTCTTAAGTGAAATAAATAGGACACTTTTGAGTAAATACTGAATAGTTTCTGTGGTGTAAAGAAACTAAAAGGGTAAATAAGGCTCAAATGGTATAATTGAGAGTGTAAAATAGGAAGAAAATGGCTAAAGGGGAAGTGGGAAGAGGAGGGGAAAGGAAATAAGGGAAAAGAAAAATGTGAGAAAATGAAAAAATGGAAACCAAGAGTTTGTAAATAGGGAAGGGTGAAGGGGGTGAAGGGAGAGCAGGGATATGGAGAGAAAACAAGAGCCAAGACATGTCATATAAGGGTACAAGATCCCAGTGATAAATGTAACTATTGTTTGTTTTAAATGTACCAATAAACTTAATGGAAAAAAAATCCCACCTCCCTACTTGTTGACCACATGACCTTAGATAAATTATTAAATTTCTATGTGTTTCAGTTTCTTCATCTAAAAATGGGAATGATATAAGCAGCTCTCTCCTCGGGTTGTGATAATAAAGCAATGGGCATAAAACATGCCAGGCATTGAATTGGACCTAAAAAGTTTTGAGGTTTTTTTTTCCTCCTCAATCAAGCATCCAATCCTTCTACTCAGAGCTCAGTGTCTTTCTGAGAGAAAGGCGAGTAGAAAATTGAAGGAGAGGAGAGAGACAGTTGCCCCCAAGGGGACAAGTTCTGTGCATGCAGATAGCAAACACCCTTGCCCATAACAGGTACACAGACATGTGGTGCAGTTCAACCACTAGACCTTGTAAGTCTCCCTTTCCATGTTGCCTAGACAACTGAGAGAAATGTGCTCTAGCTTTACCACCCCACTCAGGCAGTCTACTGCCTTGGTATGACGCTGACTGGCTTTCAACTGGGTAAAAATAGAAGATAAGGGGGAGAGTACAGTATGATGAGACCAGACACTGTATCCCACAGTAGTGATTTGCAGAACATCTACTATATACTATGTACCACTGAAGACTTAACATAATTCTCTTGCATCAATTTTAACACTTTTTAATCAAGTTGGAAGAGTGACATTAGTAATACTGGAAGCTGAAGTCTGGAGATGTTAGGGAACATGGCCAGCATCATACAGTCACTGGCAGAGTCTACATTTAAAATAAGATCTAATTGTTCCCAAAGCCCAAGCTTGGGCAGTGATTGCCAGGTGGCCTCTCAGAAGGGTGGCCCACATGTTGAATGTCAGTGGAGGGAGCTGGAGAGAGAATGGGAAGATGGGTGAGGCATGAGCCCAGAACAGTCTGCTGTTACTAGTCATTTCCCTGGGAGGGCTGGATGCTGAGGGGCCTCTGGGACTCCTTCCGGTTTGTCAGACCCCTGCTGCTTGGAGACAAGAGAGAGCAACCCCCTTCCCAGGATCCAGAGTTTTCCTTCTGCTGTCCTCCCCACCTTACTGCTTCAGTCAGTCATCACTAGTTCTCCACTGAGCTTCAGAGAGCTGCGCAGCGAGTGGCACAGTGTGCTTCTCTTCCCCGAGTATGCGGCAGTCTGTGTCTGGAAAGCAATGGGGAACTTTGAGATGATCAGAACTTTTTCACAATGCCCAGGTGCTTTCCAGCCCTTCATCTGCCAATCTGTCAGGCTAGGTCTGTGGTCCCGGTGTAAACAGACTGATCAAATTGTTGTGGGTAGCAGCAGCTGGATTCCCATGGCTTCAGTCCGCCTCTTCTGAGTACAGATGTTCTTCTTGGGACCTCTGTAGCCAGAATAAGGGAACTCAGCACAGTGAAGGTCTTCAGCCATGGATCTGTATGATGGAGGCGTACACAGCCTGGGAGCCCCTCAGAACTGGACAACAGAATAATCTTCAGTTCCTTGGTTTCTCCACAGGTTGCACAAACAACTGCGGAGAACTTTAGTGTGAGCCCTGTGTGATCTGGGTTAGACCGCAGCAAACCCTCAAAATGCTTAGATACAGTAGGGGAGAAAAGGCATGCACACAGAAACATACCAAATGTGAAAAGGTATCCAAACCCCTCTTTAGGATTTGTGAGTGGTCCACAGGTTCAAAGGAAGGAGAGACAGTTGGTGGGGGCGGAGAACTTACACAGCCCTTACCCATCACTGTACTAAGAGCATTGACCATATAAACTCTTGCAATCCTCCCACCCTTACACATTGCAGACCTGGGTACAGAGAGGTTGCATTACTTTGGTACGACCTTCAGCTGAGGATCTCTGGGGTTGCCAAAGTGAACTGGCTGTGTGTCTCTGAGTCTGTGCACTTAACCCCTAGGTTGTATCACTCTTCCTACCCTCATGTCTTTCCCTCTGATTATTAAAATGTCATTATGAAAAATGAGGCTGATTGTCTCTACTGGGATTATGTTCTATTGTTAAAAATCAGTATATCTACACCATGTTCGCCTGCCTGTGTCATTGTTAGATTTAAACTACAAAGAATCTCATTCAGCTGTATTATTGAGTGTCTGCCAAGAGCCAGACACTGTTGTAGCTACTTTTGCATATTTTAGGGCAATTTACTTCTTTCAAAGCCTTGGGAAATAGGTGGCAGTTTCCTCTGTGTTTTGGAGAAGAAAAAATGAGAGACAGCACTAGTAACTCATAGAACTAAGTTTTAGATAGACACAGCTCTTGTAATAAGAGGTTACTCTTTTTTTATTTTAAGGATTAACATTATTATTATTATTATTATTAATCTTTATTATATAGAACCACATACAGCATAGACTTCATGTAATATCTTTTTTTTCCTTTGGTACTGGGGATCGAACTCTGGGCCTTGCATTTGCAAGGCAGGTGCTACACCACTGAGCCGCATCCCCGGCCCCCATGTAGTATCTTTTAATTCATTTGTTTTACATGTGAAGTAGGCTTTAATTTTTATTGTTATAGCATTTTAACTCCTAATTTTAAAGAAGATGGAATGTGGGCTCTGAACTTAGCTTTGAGTTCAATTTTCTGACTGCCACTGTAGATTTGTAAACATAGGCAAACTCCTCACATCTCTGAATCTGTTTCCTCATCTATAAAATGAAGGCTCTAATAACGAACCCAGCAGATTATTGCAAGAATAGCATTAAATAAGCACTGAGTATGGTACCCAGTGTCATACTCCAGTGAGGGGAAGTATTTCAGGGGAGGTTATAGCAATATGACTTTCACTAAAAAATTTTACTTAAAAAATTTTAAATGCACACCATAATTTTTGATCTGCCCTTGTATTCTTACTTCAAAGATAGATTCCACACATAAAGTAACTGACAGAGAAGTATCTCAAAAACATGTCCCACAAAACTCCAGGGCAGGGACCTCTCCACCTTTCTTCTGTACGGGTTGGGGGGCGGGGATTAATAGGGGGTTTGGGATTCACAGGATGGGACAGATGACCAGAGGTGTCTTCTAAGCACAGAGATCACTAAACACTAGTAGTGACCATATGATGCTGTCCCCCAAGGGTGAAGATAGGAGTGCCTCTATAGCACATTTGCCAAGGTATGTTTGGAGAAGCTCAAACACTCATGAGGGGTTTAAAAAGCAAACAAAGAAAATTAGTTCCTTGGCCAAACTTATTTGGCTATGGCCAGTTCTGCCTAGGAAAGTCTCCCTGTTTGGTCTTAAGACCCGGCTTGGAAAATTGCTAGGTCTAGGAAGCTGGGCTCAAGGGCAGTGAGGAGGACACATCCAATTAGTGAATGGCATATCATTAGGTGTACAAAAATTTAGTTTATAGTGTCAGACTTTATCTGCATCCTGGTATATTCTTTGACTGTAGTAACAATGAAATTCAACTGTCATGCTACTATATAATTTTTTATTGCTCAAAGAAAAATAAATAATTGTCTTTATTTTTAAAAGGAAGAAAAAAATTGCTAGGTCTGCAGCTGACTTTGACATTCGTATCTGAAATCTGGCTATTGGGTCCAGATGTGTGGTGGTTTGAGTAAGGGTCTGTTGGTTGAAATATTGCTGAAATCCCACTATGTGCTCTGGTTGGGAGGAAAAAAAACCCTGAGAATGATGACTTCCCCTTACCAAATGAGACCCTATGTGGTGTCAGCTGAGTGAGTCCTGTGGTCCAGGGAGCATCTTTGTGCAGTTGGCTTTACTTATTGATTATAACTTAGTCTTTACCCTAACCTGTTGCCCTCCATCCTCTACCTGAGCTAAGTAGATTCTGTCTACCATCCTGAGTACTTGTCTTAGGGCCTTATGTTTGCTGTCCCTAACCTATGTGGGTCTTGGGATCCCACATCTTTCTCCTTGGAAAATCACAATGCACTTTAACATATAAAAAGCATAAGAAATGTGTCTTAGCTGATCTTTATCTTATAACACCTATTAATATCCTGAACCCACAGAACACACTTTGGGAAACACTGTCCTAATGAAAGAGGACCCAACTTTTCCAATCCCTCAATGAGCCTTAACTTCAGAGTGATCAATAAAGAGGCATTAACACTCACCACACATCGAGGTCCTGGGGGAGAACATGGAGAATGGAGGAGGCTACAAAGCTGTACTTAGTCTGAGTCTAAGAAATCCATCTCACAAATGAGGGAGGTGAGCATGCCTGTGCAGTTGAGTCTGGCAGAGGCCAAGTATGGTTCAGTGTTGGAGGATGGTGTAAGGAGGCCATCAGCAAGGGCTCTAGGAGGTGCACGGAAGGCGAAGGCAAAGGGAAAGGAAAGGATTTGGGTGGCGAATTGATGGAGGCTTAAGCACTGTGAGTATTCCTTCAAAGGCGAAGGGGAAAGAAAAGACAGTCCAACTTGGAACCACAGAACACACTCCCAAGTGGGAATGAGAACCCAGCCAGGTACACCATCAGGTGTGGAGGAGGAGGTTTGGCAGGGCCTGGCTGAGCGAGCAGCAGCACAGTGGAGGAGCAGCCACCGCTATAGCCCTGCACAGAAGGAGCATCCATGAATAAGATGGAGGAGGTTGTGGGAAGTGAGTCCCAAGAGAGTAGTCCAGAGACAGGGGAGGCCAAGCTGGCCCCAGTTTCAGAATCTCTGACTCTATTCAGAAAGGCATAGTAGGCAGGGAGAAGAAGCTGCTTACATCAGTTGTCCCTGAGACTGTCCTATGCACTCCTCTGTAGACCAGAATAAAACTATAAGGACACAATTTAAGTCTGAGTTCAGCTTCATCCTATAAACTGAGGTGCAGGTATATCATCCAGTCATTAAGTGTGGAGAGCATGCTCAGTGGAAGAGGCTGTGCCAGCTACACCTGGGTCTCTGCTTTTCTGGGGGAGAAGCCTAGGGGTAGAGATCAGATGTGGGAAATAGCAGCTTTCAATGGTATACAGTTTGGGAAGAGCACTTGATAAACTACCCACTGCAGATCCTGTGCTCATGTCTCATCTGGCTTGAGGTGAGAAGAGGTCTCCCAGGCTGGTCAGGGTGAGCTTCATTCCATTCTACTCACTGGTCTGAAAGAGCCCAACAGGGTGCTGGGTGCCTGGTGTGGGTGCAGGAACAGATAAGGAAACTAAAATGACAAAACCTCATATAGGTTCTTAGAACCAAAGAAGTCCTGCCAAACACTTCTGTCTGTTGTGAGGGAGACAAGAGATATCATACAGAGGTGGCATCCCGGAGTGGATGAGAGGGGTGATACAGAATAAGGACACGTCTTGAGTAAAAAGGAGATGGGTGTGTGAACCTAGCCCCTACAGTTCCATTATGTGGAGGCCTAGGCCTCTACAGTTCCATTATGCCTCACATGTGAAAAAGGGGGAAAGGTGAGCACCTAGCCTGGCTAGAGAATGGGAAGGAAAACAGAAATGGATGCTGACAGACTTCTAAGTCATGCTGAGGTATCTGGCTGCTACTGGGGAGCTGCTGAGGGTCCATTTGGAGGCCAACACAGAGGGCGGGATACCATTTGCTCTGTGTGCCCTTAAAAACAGCCTCTGGTGCCTGTTCTAAGAAGGCCTAGGAGGCCTGCTGAGACCAGAGGCAGGGTGTTGGGTAAAGCTTGAGTCAGGACTTGGGAAAGGATGCAGTTTAGGAACCAAAGAGGATGGGGCAGCTTTCAAGGCTGGAAACTGAGCCTAGGCTTGGGGAAAGGCTGACCCTGGGAACAGGTAACCAGAAACAGGCCAGATGCCACCTGAACTAGGGTCCCTGGGCTCAGTGACCACACTTTACTCTGTCTCTCCTGTGAACTTCCTTTTATCAAATACTATTATGCAAATACTATTTGGAAACCAGCCTACCCTGTCTCCCGCAGAAAGATGAAAACCAACTTTTCCTAGAGGGGAGAGTAACAGAAGAAAAAGAATGGAGTGACTCAAGAGAGGCTAAGAAGGAATCAATATGGTCCTGTCTCTCCATTTTGATGCCCAGGCCAAGAGGTAGGCAAGGGGAAATCTTGAGCGTATAGTGAATTCCAGGGTATAGTAAATTCCAAGCAGTAGTGAGGCAGCCCTATGCCTGAAGGCCAGTCAGGGACACCAAAATGGGTAATCATGTCCACTGATTATGTTCTCCTTTGCTAGACTTCAAAGCAGAGCTCACTCAGCTG